ATTGAATTTCACATAGCCTTGCTTTTCCAAAAGTTGTTCTCATCCTGGGTGGACTGCAGTTTCGACCTCGTATTGGTCTTATCAACACCCTCAGTGGGATTCAACTCATATCATTGTGGGAAAATTCTACTACCATTCCTTCATCACCTTAGACGAAATAGGGTGAATACATCTCATTACACGATTACTTGTCTTCAATGCAAGGTCTATTAAATGGATATTCACAATCAATGCATTGTATTTAGATTTTTTATCCTTCTCTCGTTATCTTTTCAATTGTCTATTTATGTATGGCTCGGTAAATATGCTAGTTCATCCGTCAATCCATTTTCTTTTTGGTGCCTTTGGCTATCTTTTTAAGTTCTCCCATGTTCAACTTGTATGCACTCTCACTACCTCACTTTCCCATTCCCCTCAGTTTTTCTTGACCTTTATCCGCTCTCTCATGCATCATCAGCACGACCGTCTAGCCCTTGACTTTCTGATTCAGCCCAAGTTACGCATGTTGCACTTGTCATTGCGGCCATGTGTCTGCATGTGTCCCGTTGACCCAAGAGAGTCCGTAGCTTGCCTCACGAGGCCGCCTTTTCATTCATGCTGATGGCTCCAGAGGATCACGTCCTTGCGTACACATGCAGGGGCGAATATGCGCATGCTCATACGATTTCAAAACTGTCCCTCGGCCTACCTTTGCGCGTTTGCATGTGTCCCATGTAGGGGCTTTTTATGGCAACTTTTGCCTATCACCATAAGAACTGTCAAGGCAGCACATAAAATGCTGTTCCCAGAAGAGTTTGTGTTTCAGTGGTTCGTTTTGAAAAGCGGTCTGCCGAGGGCTCTCCCTCTTGAGTTGGTTGATTGACAAAAGACAGACTAAGCCAGGCCGGAGCCGGCCAGACGAGGGAGACTGGCCTGGCCGACTAGACTGACCTGTTTTCCGATGGGAGGCCAGGAGCAGAAAGACAAGTGGACTACTTATTCAGGACTGGCTGTACGGGTGCAAGTGTGAGTGGGCTGTGCCGTGGATTCTGGGTGGCTGTGAAGGTCTCCGGTTGCCAAAAAAGCATGAGACTGGCCTGTATGCCGAACAGGCCGAATGACGAGCGGACCTGTCAAACTCACTTGACTAGACCCCTCCCACGGTCAGCACACCACTTTGGGGTGGCAGGACTTGGATGCAATGCCAAGCTGCTTCTATGCGTGCACGTGCTTGTCCCTCCATTATCGTCCTGTTGTCGGGCCCAGCCTAGTAGGGCTGCACGATTAGGTACACTTATGTATTCACTTGTGTTTTACCATGTGTACCACCAGCACATGCACGTGTGTACATGCAGTGCGAAAACCGTAAAGCCTCTCGGGTTGCGAGTTGAGTTGGCATTTTTGCGTCTAGAGCATCGGGCAGAAAGATGCTTCCGGGACGAAAGGACGCAAAGGACACAACGTAAGGCTTGAGAGCATCAAGTGGCGTTGGCAGGCGAAGGTGCCAAACCACCCGGAGAGAGGCACTGCACTTCAGAACTAAACGAACACCCGCAGATTGGAGTAAAATGGGGCGTTGACTAATGTTTGGGCTAACAGGAAGACAACGAGGCGAAGGATAAAATGGCTCAAGTTTGTAAAGTGGACTGGTGTGCAGAAAGAGGGGGGAACAGGTTGTGCATCTTAACAGATTGAGAAGAGAAAAAGAGGTCAGAAATCAGAATAATGTAGGATATTCATTATGATAGAATAAAATTGTGGAAGCTCGAAAAAAAAACACAAAAAGGAAAACAGTATAG